TAGCGCCACGAATGGTAGGACTAAACCCTTTTCTGCACGGAGTATGCCAGACTGTCCAGTCCTGGGTTGTTTGCCCGCTCTCCTGCTACCATCACACAGATGCACCATCTATTAAGCCGTCTCAGAGTCCCTCATCCCTTGGCATCACTCTTCAGCAACGCATCTACTCGGTACTTTTGTCGATTTCAGACAAGCAGTGTCATATAAACTAATTTCAAATGCGAAGAAATACCTTGCCGGTGCACATTTCCAGTACAACACATCCAACGCTCCAGATATCTGCTGCCCGACCATATCCAACCATTTCTGCTTTACCATTTGTTTCGGTTCGTCCGCCAAGTGTTTGTACTTCTGGCGCCATATAGGCTGGGCTACCCACCCACTCGGCTACTTCACCACATGCTGTTGTGGCTCCTCTTAATCTCACAGAACTGCCAAAATCGCCGAGCTTTAAGACGTCTTTTTTCCCAAGAAATATGTTGGCTGCTGCAAAAGTTCTCATTTCACCATAAATGAATTGGCAAGCTGGGGTATCGCCAAATCTGGGAAAACATACGTTTTATGTCGCGATGAATGATCATATTGCGATGAATATATTCCACTCCCTTCAACAAAAAATGTGTATATCGCCGTACACAGCGCAAATCTAAAAGGCCTTCGCGACATACTTCTTCTAGCGTTCCCTCGGAGCAGTATTCCATGAAAATTAGCAATTCTTCCTGAAAAAAAAAAAAAAAAAAACACGGTTGCAGAGATGACAAAATAATGCTTATTTAGAACAAAACAAAACCAACGAAACGCTTACAGAGCCAAAAGGATAGAAATACTCACGCTGTTATGCAAACTGTTATAAGCCTACTAAACACTTCATTACTATGCTTAGCACTGATTTTTGTTATACCTAGAATTCGCCGAGTTACTGCAGCAGAAACATCTAACTATTCGGATAATCTAACAGCAGCTACGTCAGTCCTCGACTCTTTTTATTTCGACTATCTTAAAACACTCCAGCTCTTGCTTTATTACGGTCTTTTTCTCTACACTCCTCTCATTCCCGTCTTGATCGTTCTCCTCTCTCTCACTTCACGCTTACTCTTGTCCTGCAAATTCGCCGCATGTGCCAAGGAAGTACTGATGATTCCCACTCAGCCTGTCTTTATTGCTAGGGAATGAAAGAGAGACTGCTTCATTCCACAAATGACCTGTAATTTTTATGCCCGGCTTCTAATATTCACGTCTTCATCTGCCCTTCACGTTTCCATTAGACAACTGCTAAAAATCCGATTCGGCTCCGCCGGGTTGGAAGGCGAGTTATGGCGACTGGAGCGTGAAGGTAAAGGTGAAGAGCATCGGAGGCGAGCGCTGGAGGGAAGTGAGAGTCGGTGGTGATGGTTTAGGTCTTGAAGGTCATGATGGAGGGGAGCGGACAAAGTTGCTGACCGGAATGAAGCTAAGACCTCCACTTGGGGGTAGGAACTGG